CCATGGTCGTGGCAGGGGAAGAGGAAGAGCCAGCTGTTGCCTTCCCTTCGCTCGGGGCCTCGGAGCAGGTAGCAGCGGCATGGCTGCCGTTCAGCAAAAGCCGGGGTTTGCGATTGGAGCGTGCAGGCTTTGGCTGTGCCTGCTGCTCATGCTGTTTGGATGCCGCTGTCGCCGAAACGGCTTCCTGTTGATTTGCCTTGCGGTGGCCCTTCGGTGGCATTGATAGCCCTTAAATGTGCTGCGCACAAGAGCGTGGAGCAGGGATTGACCGGATGGATGGATGGATGAAAAACATTTATTGGGTCCTGAAGGATTCCACCCCCGTTTTATAGGGGTAGGATCGCGGGCCGCTCCCACGTTGAGACGGGGAGGCCCAGCCTCACCGCCGCATCGTGGGCCTTCTGGACAGCCTTGAGTTGTTGTATGAGAACCAGACTCGTGAGCATTAAATGAAAGGAGTTGTCATAAACTTCTTCATTTTTCTTTGTAAATAGGGGCACTTCCACAGCATGTGGTTAAAATCACTGCGACTCTGGCAGTCCGGACAAAGTTCTGAAATATCGGAGTAATGGCTATAGGTTACGAGGCTAGGGCATGTTCCCGTCTGAAGCATGCGAAGAGAGATTGCCTGTGGCCTAGACAACTTTTCGTGTGGCAATGGAAAAGACCTACGGCCTAACTGATAATGCTTCGTGATCTCATTGAAGGTAGTCAAAATGTCCCTAAAATGAAGGGTGGGGACTGACTCCTTTCTCCGAGAAGCACAAGTCCCGGTACGGTAAGCGAAGCCTCGCGCCATGGAGTGGGCTAGCTCGTTGACATTGGGAAGGCCTCCGACCCTCAAGCTAAGGTGAGCAGGGAACCAAATAATAGTGTGGTGGGTGAGTTCCTTGTGAGCGAGAGTTCTCAAAATTTCCTTGCACACGGAACCAGAAGCGAAGGCCCTAGCAGCGGATTTAGAGTCCGTATAAATATCAGCCCTTTGTGGATCAAGGAGTGCTAGTGCAATAGCCATCTGTTCTGCTTTGTAAGAAGAAGTGGTTCGAACCGACGCCGAGGATAAAATCTTACCCTTAGTACTTACGAATACAGCCGCAAAGCGAGCGGAAACGCCATACTGGGCGGCATGAACAAAGCATGAAACAGACGAGTGTTTCTGGGCTTGAGCTAAAAGAGAGGAGGCTCAAGCTACACGCCTGCCGGGTTGTATTGTGGATGCATATTTCGTGGAAGGGGGCACACTTTGATGCGAGAGTGTATATAATCATCGAGTGGCGTATTTTGCACTTCGAGCGTCAGGGGGTTGACTCCAGTGTCAACCAGAATCTTTCTCCCCGCTGGTGTGATCGAAAGCCTGGCAACTTGTGCCGTTTGTTGAGCCTCGATAACTTCTTCAAGCGTGTTGTGGAGTCCAAGTTTCGTAAGGTTCTCAGTGCTTGTGCGCATAGGAATGCCAAGAACTTTCTTGATGCTTTTCCTAATGAGGATGTTCCATTTATTTCTTTCATGGAGTTGCCACCTGTGCACAGATGCGACATAGCTATGTGGCTCATCAAGAATGCATGGGATAGTCTGAGGAGGTTGTGCTCTCGAAGACCACCCCAACTGTTGGAAATGCGTGAGATTAGTCAGATGACCCCTTCCACCTTAGAAGTCAGACGGTCGATCGTGCGGCCGTTCTGTCCATTATAACCTCGATAATCATGCCCAGAACACGTGTGAAGTCCACCCTTGGAATATGCTGGCCCGATGCCGTGTGCAGCCTAATGTAGATGTCAGCCAGTGGTTGCCAGTTTTTGAGTTTGGGTCCCCATTTCGTGGGTCGATATAAGAGAAGTTCGGACTTTGCTGGCGAGAGCTTGAGGCCCATTTCATTTACGTAGACTTCAACACAGTCTACGGCCTCTTGAAGAGAGCTCTCCACAGAGCCCTCCGAGCCACCGACACTTTATATGGTGATGTCGTCCGCGTAGATGGCGAACTTGATGCCTTCTTAGTTTGAGAGTTTTGCAGCAAGGCCGCACATTGCAATGTTAAAAAGCAGTGGGGAGACGACCGAGTCCTGCGGGGTGCCGAAGGAACCAAGATCGTAGGGCTCAGACTTGGACTCCGGCCAGGTTTAGGTATGAGAATAACCGACGCCCTTTTCCATTGCTCAGGGAAAGTCCCAGTCTCCCAAATATGATTGATTTCTTTGGTGAGGTAGGTGACAGAGCCATCGTCTAAATTGCGTAGTGTCTTGTTTGTAATGCCATCCGGGCCCGGGCTGGAGTTCCCATTAAGATTGTTTAAGATGGTCCGGACCTCTGCTTCCTGGAAGGGCTTGTCCAATTCGAAGGCTGGTCATCCCGTGTATTGCGCGTAGCCGGACGGAGGCCGGGTTGTGTCCAAAGGGAGGTATCTCTGTGCCAGGCACATCGTTATTTCCGTGTCCGATTTAACCTTTCTTTCTGAGCGCAGTATTCGGTCTACCAAGCGCGTCTGGTTGGATTTAGATTTGGTGTCTTGCAGCAGGTGTTTGAGGAGGTTCCATTTTCCCTCAACTTTCATCTGACCATCCACCTTGTTGCAAATCTCGTCCCATTGCTGCTTTTCCAGCGCCTAACAGTAAGTCGTTATTGCCTGGTTAAGACTTGCGGTGCCTTTTCGCAGTCTTCCGATTCATACGATGTGCCTTCCACCTGGCTAGGAGGGCGCTTTTAGCCTCAATAAGATGAGCAAGCCTGCTATCCATTTTATTGACCGGAAGATCAGTCTCTATTGTTTTGGTGGCCGACTTGACGTCTTCGACCAGCTGAGACACCCACTTCCCGAAATTCGGTGAGTCATTAATCTCCTCCACGCTCTCCGCTTTGATCTTACGGAAGAAGTCCCAATCTGTGAATTTGAAAGCTTTAGGGGGCTTTGCTTGAATTTGTAATGTCGTACTGAGAATACAATGATCACTCCCCAAGTTTTCTCCCAAGTTTAACCTTGATACCTCCACCGTGGTTGCGACACAGGTGAGGTCTGGGATAGTATCCCTAGAGCGAGAATTCCAGTGCGGGTAAGAAACGTGGGGTCAGTGACCAAAGTAAAATTCAGATCCGATACCACTTGCTAGAGCTCGGCTCCCTTGGCAGTGGTGCGAGGGTAGCCCCAAGCTTGATGGGGTGCATTGAAATCTCCCGCTATAACTATGGGTGCGTCCACTTTCCTAGCGATCGTAACGGCTTTCGATAACAATGAGGTAAAGCGATGGTGCCTGCCTTTTGGAGAGCTATATATGTGTAGTATGAAAATGCTATTTTTAAGGTTGCTGTCAGGTATAATTTATAAAAGAGAGTGTTCAATCTTGCCATTTGCCATGTGCAAATTGTGCTCATTGTAAGTGTACTTCTTGGACACAAACGTGCAGATACCGCGGCCATCTGGAGGTTTCGTGATGTGATGGGTGTAGCCTGGTAGGCTCATTGTTTCCGTAAGCGTCTCCTGTAGCATAATAACATGTGGTCGAATTGGCTGGGGTTTAATATACTGCTGGAGAGCTGCCTTTTTTGACTGGAAGCCCCAGCAGTTCCACTGCCAAATTACGAAATTGTTAAGGTGTCCCGCCATTGTTGGGACCCTCAAAAGCTCTATCCTGAGAGACGCTACGGGTTGCCACGTTCTGCACGATCCTGACCTTAGGTATTACTTGGGCCGGAGTAGCCTCGGCAAATTGTAAAGCTTTAACTTGGCCAGCCTCGATCTTTGTGACTCTGCTGTTCAATACCGCAATCGACTCGACCACCGCCCTGAGAGCATTCAAGCCCCGAGAGCCCTGAGAGGTCAATTGGTATTCTTGACCTCTGTTTTGAAATCTCTGTCCTCATCATTGGCCGGTTGTGCTAGCGCTCTCATTTTTGTTGGTTTTGCCCCTGGATAGACATCCACGGGTACCTCATCGTGACTCGCATCCGATGTGACCTCCGTACTGGGAACTGTGTTTCAAGGAGACGGAGACGAAACATGTGATTTCCTTAAGTCGTCTATTTCAGCCCTGAGTTGCTCGACAATGGTCCTAAGATTAGCATTTTCCCTTTGCATCTGCGCATATATATCTGAGTGTTGCTCTCGATTGGTACCCCCCTTTACAGTATGCAGTGCGCGTGGAGAGGAAGAAGAAACTGCCGAACACTTGATAATGTTCTGTAAAGGGCTTCACCCTATAGTTCAGGATGATGGCACAGAGTTTTTCAAAGCACTAGGATTTAGGGACAGGGAGGGCAAAATAGACTTTAAGCGGTAGACTTAACTAGAAGGAGGTTATCTGATTGGTGGCTAAAGTCAAGGCACGAGTGAAAATTAAACCTTACACTGCAAAGTACCCGTCCAACTTACTATTTAAAGAAAAAAAAAGGTAATCTAGTGGTTAGTTCACTAAGTATTACGGCTAGGTGGCGTTAGCCGGCGCCCGATCTAAAGGGTACAGCCACATACATCCGTCCATCCATCCATCCATCCAGGGATATGGCGAGGAAAGGTCACGTGACACAACCCAATCACCGCGGCTCTACGGCGGTGTCGGCGCGCTGAAAACAGATGCGATACTCTGACATTTTTTCCAGTGACTCTAGTTGGAGTCGTGAATCGGGGAAAGGGAGGACCGAATGTCACTGATGAGGAGTGGGAAAGCGGTTTTTATGTGACTGAGAGCTTATTGCGCCAGGCAGCGCGTTGCAATTATGTTTGGCTCACGCGCACTCGGAAGTCTATTGATAGGCTTGGTTTTCTGACCATGCTCAAAAAGTGTTGCAGGGCCCCTTTGACACCACCGACTTGTTTGTTTTGACGCCTGCTGCGATTTTAGAATTCTGATGCGTTAAGGAAACTCCTTTCACCACATGGCATTCATATGGTGTTTTTCCCAAAGCAGTTTCAACAAACGGCATGACTCTGTGGTAAAACGTGTGCTTCTCCCACAGACGGCAACGCAGACGACGGTTTTCTCGGGCAACGAAGCCGATATTTCTGCTCAGGTGGACGCGCGCAGCCTGACCACGGGCGAGGTGGTGTTCCGCGACAGCATGGCGCACGGCGTGGCGGGCATCGTGCAGGCCGACTACTGCCTGGACGGACGCGAGCAACTCATCGTGGTCTCGGTCTCGGGCGAAGTCCGTGGCTACCTGCCGGCCTCGGCTGAGCTCCGACAGCAGATGGTCGACGCCACCTTCGAGCAGGACACAGTGCGCGAGCTGAGCCGCAAGAAACAGGTCCGTCACATCGGCCGTGCGCATGCAGAGCCACTCAAATTACGAAACAGGTTCATCTTGGAGGCTGGCCTTCGTACCAAGTGTCTGGGAATAATTTTCGTCCAACAATGTATTGGAACACACGTACTGAAAAACTACCTGGCACTAGGATTTCGGGCAGCATGTTATTCCGGGTGCGTTTCTCGCTACCTAATTAAGGCAGTGAAACTCTTCATCTATGAATTTTCTACCTCACGTTTAGTACCGTCATCTGTTTTTGGAGTACGTCCACATTCACAAAAATGCGTAAATTGCACGTCATACAGAAAACGGTTGTTCGGACCATAGCAAATGTTCTTCATTAAAGTCACACCACTCCCATATTTCACATGAATATACTGACTCTACCTGAACATGCAGCTTCCTAAAATTAACTGGGACTGCGATCGTCAGCGACAATGAGAATTACGGGCAGTACATGGATTTGCCTAGTCTTCGTACATACGGGCCACCGACCGCACCCGTGGCTTTGTTTATTGCATTGTTTCAGTTTTGTTTAGAATAAATGAGGGAACCCTTTAGAACTTCGTGACCCGATTCAAGTTTGTGAGCCTACAACATAAAGGTGGTGACGCGTAACTGATAAACTATTTCCGATTTTTGTTTGGTGACAAAACAGCTTCAAGTCATGCCAAGCTAAATGGCACACGAAGATTATGCAAATCCACATGTACTACTCATAATTCCCACGTTGGCTGAAGCGCCATGCGCTGCAGCTCCCATGCACACTAGCGCCCGAGTTCCCTCTAGTGTATATATAGGAAACTGTGTACCAGAATACTACCACGCAATCCTTGTGAAATAATACCAGGCAGAATTAAAAGGCGACAACATTTTATAAACTACTGCCGACCTAAACCACCTAACTATACTTTATAATCACACGTGGGTTATTTCACGCATACGCACTACTTCCAAAAAATGGTGCAATTTCTCTAACCGTTTCACTTGAAAGCCATACCAACTGAGCGAAATTACACACATGTATTTTTCTTTTACTGTCTGACTATACTTATTTGTGTTGTTACTCCGACTTGTTTACAGGTTTTTTTTTTTTAATTTCTCAAGCATTTCTCTCCTCACACATACCCCTATGCATGCTCTGATTGAAGATGTACATGCCCAATCTGACTGCTAATCTTGTATTTCTTGCATCGTTACACTCTATTATAAATTTCGTACGTGTAAAGAAAGAATTACGATCATTTGAGTTAATTCCTCGGCTACTTCTACACTAGCTGAAGAGGGAAGGTGTTTCAGATTCGGAATGGACGCCCCTCGATGACTCGAGTGCTCGGTGACAACATGAAGTAAGAGCCGTGGACCCCTGAAGAGACGCTTTATTGCAGCCAGAACCTCCGCTCTCCCATCCAAACACCCTCTTTTCAACCCTCGGTTGAACAAAGGGTCTCCACACAAGCCACTCACACGCGTGGGCTCTAATCGCCACAACAAAACGCAAAAACACTTTCACAACAGGCACTGCATTGGAAACAAGCACGTAACCAAATGTAACACGCGAAGGTCTCCGCGTGTCACACCGTCTCCCATGCCAGGCCGACCTCGGTCAGTAGCCGTTCTCCGATTAAACATTGCTTCGTAGAAGCCTTCTTAAGCGCGGTGAGTACAACCAGTACAGCGCGGTGAGGCCTTATGCGTTGACCGGGTGGCGTTGGTACCGCATTGCACGAGAGAGAGAAAAGAAAGAGGGCGAGGAGGACTCCAGCGCCAGCGTCAGGATTGCTCGCGTGCTATTATTGGTTCACCTCTGGAGGTGACGTGCTGGTGACGCGCGCGCTGGTGCAGCAGCGACCCCGACTAAACTTGCACAGCTGATCCTCATTTTCAGCCATGCTCCCCGCTCCTCTCCGACTAAGCAGCGCAGCCCCCGCCATAATCCGTGGGGATGATGGACGGGGTTGGGGACACACAATAGGGAGCGAAGAAAAGACTTTTGTTGTGTGCTCGGGCTGCCTATTCACACACCGCGGAAGCCTCCGAGAGGGCGTTGTTAACTCCCGCAAAAAAGAAAAGGTAAAAAAAAAGGAAAAAGGCGCGTGTTGCAATTAGTTACATAAACATGCAGGGTGGCAGAAAGAAGGCAAAATGGTTAGAGATTGAGGAGCAGTTAACAAAGAACAGATAGGCGTGTATGCGGTTACAGAAACACACCTTAGAGACTTGGAAGAGCCACCACATATTAAAAATTATGTTTGGGAAGGGTGTAACAGGACCATATCGGAAAGGAAAGGTGGGGGTGTAGGAATGCTAATTCACCGCGGAGCCAAATGGGTTAGAGTGAAACAGACGTGTTCAGAGCACCTCTGGTTCTGGGCACAGTAGGTGGAAAGGGAACGTGGCTAGGGGTAGCCTACTTGTGGACGGGGAATAACTGCAGAGAAAAGAATCAGAAGATAGTGGATTGCATGAGTGCGGATATTAAGGAATTTGGTAATGGGGCCGAAATCATCCTTCTAGGGGACATGAATGCCCACATACATGACCTTGACGGATATTCAGACACCAATGGGAAGTTATTACTAGATCTTTGCGAGCAACATAGTCTGGAGATAGTTAACACGGGGCCTAAATGTGACGGCCAGATCACATGGGAAGTCGGAAACAAGCAATCAAGTATTGATTATTGTCTCATGACTGAAGGAATTTACCACAAACTGACAGAAATGAGGATAGACGAGGAAGGCATTAACAGCTTGGGTAGTGATCATAAACGAATAACATTACAAATGGGATACGAAACTGAAAATATGAGCATGGAATCAAAGTCTGGCAGCTCGTATTTAAATGACAAACAAATAATAAATATAGCCGCAAGAGTCGAGGAAGAAGTAGGCGAAATACCAGGCAAGGACTGGGAGTATAGGGAGCTGTTACATCTAATGACGAAGGAGATAGGGAAAGAGAAGAAAACTGTTTGCTGGAAAGGAAAAAGGAAGCCAAAAAGTTCGTGGAACAAGGAAATCCGGGAGGCGATCGAGAAGCGACGCGAAGCATCACGGGAGCATAGAAAGGCAAAAAGGAGAAGCGGCCGCAGGACGAAGTCAAAAAATATGGGAAATATATTTAGAGAAAAAATCCCTTGTACAGAAATTGGTAGAGGCAAAAATTAAAGGTGAAAGTGAACGCTGGATGACAGAGATACACGAAAAAAGGAGGCCGCGCCTAGGATTTTTTGGAGCCACATAAAGGCGCTAGGTAGGAAGTCTGTCACAACGCAACAACATATTCTAGATGAAGGAGGAAATCAATTGGAAGGGTACGAAGCGCTAGGTTACATCCAAAAGGTAACAGCCGATTCGTTTCAAAAGAGCGTCCAGGGGATCTCCCCGGTGAGTAAAAGTGTGGCGGAGAAAGCAACAGAGGAAGAGCTAGTACTTGATAATTTCAACTGGAAAAAGGCCGAAGGAAAAATTCCAAAGCGCACTGCCGCGGGTTTAGATGGGATTCCCGTTAGCCTCATTAACGAACTAGGACATAACACTAAAGAAGCATTGTTAAAAGCAGTAGAAAAAAGCTTAAAGGACGGACAAATACCGGACAGTTGGCGACAAAGTAGAATGCACTTAATCTATAAAGGCAAGGGAGAAAAGGACAAGATTCGCTCGTATAGACCACTAACCATTACATCGGTACTATACAGGTTGGCGATGCAAGCAGTAAAAATGAAAATAGAAACATGGGCCGAACATAACGATATTTTGGGAGAACTTCAGAACGGATTTCGAGTCGACAGGCGGTTAGACGATAACCTGTTTGTTCTCACTCAGTGTATAGAAATATCTAAAATAGAGAATAGGCCCTTGTACGTGGCTTTTCTAGACATCACTGGGGCATACGACAACGTTAATCAGGAAATTTTGTGGGATATATTGAAAGGAATGGGCATGGGCGACGACTGTATACAGCTTTTGAGGGAGATATACCGAGAAAATACAGTTTGCATAGAGTGGGAAGGAATGCGTAGCAAAGAGAACGTTGAGGTTAGCAGGGGTCTGAGACAGGGATGTCCTTTGTCCCCGCTGTTATTCATGCTGTACATGGTGAGTATGGAAAAAGCGCTAGAAGGTAGCAACATTGGTTTTAATCTGTCACACAAACAGGGCGGCATGATGATTGAGCAGAAGCTTCCAGGTTTATTTTATGCGGACGATATCGTCTTATTTGCGGACAGTCGAGATGATATACAGCAGCTGGCGAATATATGCGGAAGGGAAGGTGAAGCTCTTGGACTAGGATTCAGTGTAACGAAGTGTGGTTTGATGGTATTCAATGATCCCTGTGATCAGACGGTGTCCATACAAGGCCAAGAAATACCGAGGGTAAGTGAATACAAGTACCTTGGAGTATGGGTAAATGAGAGTGATAGATACATGGAGGTACAGGAAAAAGCCTCGGCAGCAAAAGGAAAAAGGAATGCGGCAATAATGAAGCACAGAGCGTTGTGGGATACAATAGGTATGAGGTGCTTCGAGGTCTGTGGAAGGGTGTAATGGTTCCAGGGCTTACTTTTGGGAACTCAGTGGTGTGCATGAGGGCAGAGGTGCAATCGGGAATGGATGTAAATCAAAGGACTGTGGGACGCCTCGCGTTGGGTGCTCACGGGAAGACGACAAACGAGGCTGTAAAGGGCGATATGGGGTGGGCAGGTTTTGAGGCGAGGGAAGCGCAGAGCAAAATAAGGTTCGAAGAAAGGCTAAGAAATATGAAGGAGAGTAGATGGGCAGAGAAGGTGTTCCGTTATTTGTATAGGAAGAGCGTGGACACACAGTGGAGAAAAAGAACTAGAAGACTCACTAGTAAATATACGGCTGGTATTGTGAGCCATATGTCAACAAAGAGCGTTAAGGGACAAGTCAGGGAGGCGGAGAGGATTTACTGGATGGCAGCTATGGAGAAAAAACCGGCTTTGAGTAACTACCGAAAGGGCAAAAATGAAATAA